GATGTTTTTCAACCTTGGCAACATTAAGATGTATGGACTTCAACTCCTAGATCAGTGTTTCTCAACCTTGGCAACTTGAAGATGTCCGGACTTCAACTCCCAGAATTCCCCAGCCAGCATTTGCTGGCTGGGGAATTCTGGGAGTTAAAAGTCCGGACATCTTTTAAGTTGCCAAGGTTGAGAAACACTGTCCTAGATTTCTCCAACCAGCATACTTGCTAAGATTGAAAAACACTGCTATAGTAGAAAGAGCAACTTGCATATACAATGAAGTAAAGGAATTAGGAGGCCAGATTTCCTCAAGGGGAGAAGCATAAAACACAAAAAATGTCCCGAGTGATGTGCTCCATTTTGGAATTAAATGGGGTGGGGGGAAATGCTCTATCTTCTTGCATGGGGTAAATGGAAAGGCCTACAGAACTCATACGCCAAATGTTTACTGTAGAAAGGGCCTCAACTCAAGACTACAACTTCAGCTGTCAAATTTATTCCGGACACCAATAAGAGCTGCACTCCAGAGAGGAGATCATAAGTGGTACAGATTTGTTCCCAAAAAACAGGATTTGGTCAAAACACCAGAGAGAGCAACCCTTAAGAAAGATGAAAATAGCTATCGCAATTATTCTGTTGGAAATAGACATCGCCATTTCTTACGGGAGGAATACAGATTATAAAATGCCATCATGATAAGACAGGTAACTAGGATTGGATTGGATTTATTACATTTATATGCCGCCCTTTTCCCCGAAGGGACAACAATGGAAAAGAAAACCGGCGATATAAATGTTTTAAATAAATAATGAAAATCAATCTATCAACGGTGGGAAAGCACCGCTAGGGTAAAAGAACAGTGAATTCAGAGATTCAAAATGGCAGTGAAGCTTTTTGAAAAAGATTCTCCAGAAACAACAAAAGTGAGGATTTCTATATTAAGGAGAGATCATAAGAGGGCATGGGGGAATAGATCTGTTTGGGGAGGTATTCTCCCCATCAAATGGCGATCATGAACCCATCCAAACGTTAAATTTTGGTTAACTTTCTTGAATGCTACAAACTGAAGGCCAGAAAGGAAATAACATCCACTTATGGCTCCCCATAAAAAAATCCCATTTTTGAGAGAATGAACCCAAGATTTTTCCTCAAAGCCCTGAGGGAAGAGCAGTATTTGAGAAGGGGGTGGCACAGAGGTAGTGTCACCCCCAAAATGGCCAGCCGTCCCTTCGGAAAAAAAGAAAGATGTGATTCTGAAAATGAGCTGTTTTCATCAGATTTTGCTGGAAGAGTCCCCCTCGGGGAGGCCAAAAGATGGTGAGGATGACAAATGGATGCCAGGATCCGATGCAGGAAAGGTGAGGGAAGAGCAGTATTTGAGAAGGGGGTGGCACAGAGGTAGTGTCACCCCCCCCAAAATGGCCAGCCGTCCCTTCCGAAAAAAAAAGAAAGATGTGATTCTGAAAACGAGCTGTTTTCATCAGATTTTGCTGGAAGAGTCCCCCTCCGGGAGGCCAAAAGATGGTGAGGATGGCAAATGGATGCCAGGATCAGATGCAGGAAAGGGGAAAGAGGGGGGGCGGGCGGAAGCAAAGGGAAGAAGAAAAAATGAAGGAAGGAATGGGAAAGGAGAAAAGGAGGAAGAGTTGGGGGGAGGAGAAGGAAAAATAGAAGGATGATGATGATGATGATGATGGAGGATGCTGGTGAGGCAGAATATAGCTAATTTTTCTTTATGGGGGCATCGAGAGCCTGGTATGTCTAAACAACAGATCCAGGGATCTCTTTTGAACCCCACTTCACGCCTGCCCTCATCTCTTTTTTGACCAACCTGCTCAAAACTGAACCCCAACCCCGCACTTTGTGACGTATAAACCACGATCAGTGGTGCCATGCACCCCCAGACCATCATGGCTTATTCCAAAAAAAAACCTAGTTTGGCCCTCCAGGGCTGCAAACCATCCAGCCAGGTTTAGCCTGACTTAGAAAAAGAGAATCCAGAAGGGCTTTTTTTTTTTTGACCAAAGAGAGGATAAGAGTTTATGTATATTTTGAGGGGGAGGGTGGTAGGAGGAGAGGAAGGGAGGAAGATTGGGGGGGGGGATACACACCCCTCCCCAATTCCTCAGATCATAATAAACTAGCAATTGGGG